TCCACCTGAGACTAATCAATGAATGAATATGAACATTTAGAAGATATATATACATATAGATAACTATTACATTATTACTTATATTACATTAGCTAGTTCAGTTGTAATATTTACCAACATATATAGATATTACATCATTACTTATATTACATTAGCTAGTTCAATTGTAATATTTACCAACATATATAGATAGATATTACATCATTACTTATATTACATTAGCTAGTTCAACTGTAATATTTACAACATATATAGATAGATATTACATCATTACTTATATTACATTAGCTACTTCAATTGTAATATTTACCAACATATATAGATAGATATTACATCATTACTTATATTACATTAGCTACTTCAATTGTAATATTTACCAACATATATAGATAGATATTACATCATTACTTATATTACATTAGCTACTTCAATTGTAATATTTACCAACATATATAGATTGATATTACATCATTACTTATGTTACATTAGCTAGTTCAATTGTAATATTTACCAACATATATAGATTGATATTACATCATTACTTATATTACATTAGCTACTTCCATTGTAATATTTACCAACTTATATATATAGATAGAGGTTAAAAGTCAGATTATTTGTGTAAGACACACCTCCCAGCATGTTTAATATTTTTAGTACATTTAATTTAGTTATATTTAATTAAACCATCAATCTTCTTTTTATTTAATGTATAATCAGTTATTCATTTAATTTGTTACTTATCGGAAACTTGTGGTTTGCCTAGAAAACATTTCATTCCGGTATTATATTTGAATGCATAAAGTTTATAAAATGTAAAAACAGTGCTGTGTATTTAAAGTAATTAAAACAGTTAAGTGACCTGCCTAGACTACTCATGTAAGACATTACATACATTGACTGAATGAATCTGATGGTTGTGCAGGATGTTTTAGTGATTGCGAGGTTAAACTTAATCCACAAAACATTATACCCATCAAACACCTCTAGTACAAAATACACTTTGACATAAATTCGCACATGAACACTGCTGCAGGAGACGAGGCTCTTAGAGATGACATCTCTATTTCCCCAATCAAATTCCTTTTGCAATGTACAGTACTATCTACACCCACCCCTCTCTATCACATGTGGTGATGTCGTCTGAATTTCCCTACTCCTAATTTCATTTTGATATAGTTTAAAGAAGTTTAAAAAGCTTCACACATACACTTATGGTGACACAGTCCATACTTCCTTACTCCTAATTTTATTTTGATATAGTTTAAAAAGCTTCACACATACACTTATGGTGATGCAGTCCATACTTCCTTACTCCTAATTCAATTTTGACATAGTTTAAAGTTTAAAAAGCTTCACACATACACTTATGGTGACACAGTCCATACTTCTTTACTCCTAATTTCATTTTGATATAAAGTTTAAAAAAGCTTCACACATACACTTATGGTGACACAGTCCATACTTGTCCCAGTAATATGAGATTTGGCCAGCTTAGGTTAGTCCTACATTCATGTGAAAAGCTAACAATGTAAAATATAGTAATAAAAATCACAAATAATCAATATATATTAAAGATTATGTAAAAATCAAATTAGGAGTAGGGAATGGCCAAACACTAACATTTGTTAGTAAGTGGAGCTAACTGATGAAACAATGCATTCTAATCTTTATAAGTAAGAACAGTATATTTAATCAGCTACACTAACACTATGAATTACTGAGTTGATGTTTAGTTATGATCTAGTACACTGTAGCCTGCTTTGTCATATATGTGTGTATATACCTATAAACACACACACACATTTTACTACAATTACATATATATATATATATATAAGGCATAACGTCTATTGCACAGATTATATTTTGTTTAAGATGCAAGGTTTGATGCTGATTTAGTTTGGGGATAGAGAGATAGAGGTAGTAATGATAATGAATTGACACTGACAGCAGCTACAAGCCTATGTTTAAAATAATAATTAATTCCATAAAAATAAGATTCACTTCCATATATTTTCATTAACATGGAAACAGATAAAGTTCCTTGAATGATGAGCTTTTAGCTCTAAGACCATGGAAGCATAGAAATTTATACTACAATACCCCAAAAAATGTTAGTTGTGTAAGTATATTTATGAAATGTTAGTTAAAAAATATGAAGTTAAATACAGAAATGGTTATATATTGTTAGGTAATAGGTATATTTGATAGGTTATAGAAACATTTGTTACGTTATAGGTATATGTCATAGGTTATAGGAACATTTGTTAGGTTATAGGTATATTTTCATAGGTCAGAGGAACATTTGTTAGGTTATAGATATATTTGATAGGTTATAGGTATATTTCATAGGTTATAAGATACATTTGATAGGTTATAGGTATATTTCATAGGTTATAGGAACATTTGTTGGGTTATAGGTATATTTCATAGGTTATAGGAACATTTGTTGGGTTATAGGTATATTTCATAGGTTATAGGAACATTTGTTGGGTTATAGGTATATTTCATAGGTTATAGGAACATTTGTTGGGTTATAGGTATATTTCATAGGTTATAGGAACATTTGTTAGGTTATAGGTATATTTCATAGGTTATAGGAACATTTGTTAGGTTATAGGTATATTTCATAGGTTATAGGAACATTTGTTAGGTTATAGGTATATTTCATAGGTTATAGGAACATTTGTTAGGTTATAGGTATATTTCATAGGTTAGAGGAACATTTGTTAGGTTATAGGTATATTTCATAGGTTATAAGAATTTTTGTTACATTATAGGTATATTTCATAGGTTAGAGGAACATTTGTTAGGTTATAGGTATATTTCATAGGTTATAAGACTTTTTGTTAGGTTATAGGTATATTTCATAGGTAATAAGTATACTTGCTAAGTTATGGGTATATTTGCTAGGTTATAAGTATGTTGCTAGGTTATAGGTATACTTGCTAGGTTACATGCACGTTGCTAAGTTATAGGTATACTTGCTAGGTTACATATATGTTGCTAAGTTATAGGTATACTTGCTAGATTACATGTATGTTGCTAGGTTATAGGTATACTTGCTAGGTTATATATATATATATATATTGCTAGGTTATAGGTATACTTGCTAGGTTACATGTATGTTGCTAAGTTATATGTATACTTGCTAAGTTACATGTGTGTTG